CTTCCTTCCTTCCTTCCTTCCCTCCTTCCTTCCTTCCTTGCCAGGAAAATCTCAGCCCCTCTGCCTAATTGAGTTGAGCCCACTAAGGGTAACTTCTTTAGTTCAAGTCAACCAATTAGGGCCTTTAATGAAATCTATACAACCTTTCCCAACAGCATGGTAATTAGGCCTTGGTTGTAGACCTGGGAGTGGGTGGGTATGGTGGACAATGGCTGCCTGCTCCCTTCCCTCTTTGTGGTGGAGTCTAACCAGGTCCATGGACCTCAAGATCAACTACAGTGTTTGTGGAAGTATATTGTTTCTAGATGTTAGGTGATACCTTCTGTGTGGGTGAGGTCACAAGATTGTGACCTGGCCACCTTCCTCTTCAGGTGGGTTTTGTTTAACTCATACCAAGTGATAGGACCGGGATTTGAGCTGAAGCCTGAGTCTGTGCTCCCCGGCTTTCATGTTCTGTGGGGGCTCAGTGTGGCATTGGGACACACTCTCCTCTTAAATACCGCTGCATATTGTAGGAGGGCAGAGTCTCTATGGGGATCACATGGGCCTTGGTTGCTCAGAAAGAACAGGGACATGTATGTCCTCTTGGGGTTATGATCCCCCTCATAAATGCTGAACCTTAGTTTCTGCCTGTAGCATCCTTTCCAGGTGCCATCAAGAGTCCCAGGAGCCAACTAAACTTGGAAGATATACAGACTCTCTTTCCCCTTTGGTGCCACATTCATGCTTCTCCAGAGTCACCAGATTCCTATCCCGATGTTTCCTATATCTCTTGGCCAGGCTCTCACAGAACCTTCTTCATGAGCTCTGCCCCTCCCCCAGCTCCTTAAGTCATGAACACCTGCACACTGTCCGTCCTAGTTAGGTTCCTGGTGCCATGATGAAGCACCATGACCGAAAGGTCAAGAGGAACTCTAGGCAGGAACCTGGAGGCAGGAACTGAAGCAGAGGCCGTGGAGGGATGCCACTTACTGGCTTGCTCTCCATGCTTTCTCATACAGTTTGGGACTACATGTCCAGGGTGTCCCTGCCCACAGTGACCTGTGCTCTTCCACATCAGTCAGAATCAAAACAACGCACCACGTGCTTTCCCACAAGCCAGTCTGGTGGGGGTGTTTGCCCAGTTGAGGAGCTCCCTTCTCACGTGACTCTAGTTGTATCAAGTTGACCCAATGATAATAATTAAAAAAATGATAATAATAAACTAACCAGGACACATGTGTCTAAGTCATGCTTACCGTGTGAGGAGTATGGCACCAACTACTAGGGATATGACACTCATGGGACAAACACTCAGAACCTTCCAACTTCCCATTCTCCTGTCCCAGAGAAAAGGCCTAGAAAACAGGATGCCACCTGAAACAGGAGAGGCAGGCCCACCATACGGCCTCTGTGCCTTCCTTTGTTCAGCAGATAAATACAAGGCTGTGTGGTTTTCCTTGGACAGACAAACACGTGGAAACAGTTGCCATCAGCGAGAGTCCCCTTTTATCAACATCCTTGCGTTCTTCCCCCTCCTCTTTCCCAGTCTATTCCAGAGGTGACCCTTGCTGTCCTTCCAGTGTGACCTTCCCAGGTTTTTATTCCACGCGTTTACAGACAGGCAGGTAGGCAGGCTCTTTGGAAAGTAGTCACGATTGTATGAAACAGTCATTCTGTGTTTATTGGGAAAATGGGAGGATGAATGGGTGTGTATGTGTTTCCCCTCAGTTTCCTTGCTGGCTTCCCCAACCTGTGCCCTTCCTAGGCACAGCGGCTGAGCAGACCAAGAGGGGCATGTGTCTGGATTCTAGCTTGTACCTATGAACCATGTAAAATGGGCAAGGACGTTGGAGCTCGACGTCTGTGCTGTAAGCTTGGGCTCCGTAACAAAAGAACACAGGCCGGCGGGGGGTCAGCTGCAGAACTTTATTTCCCACACTTGGGGGTTGGGACTTTCAAGGTCAAGATGCCAACATGCTCTTTGCAGCTAGTAGACAGCAGCTACTTTCTCGTGGTGTCTTTAGAATTTGGGGGTGGGGAGTGGGGGGAATGAAGAGGGAAGGAGGAGGTACCTTCCTGTCATTCAAAAAAGATGTATGTAATTCCTGTCATTATTTTTAATTATGTGTAGGTGTGTTTGTCTGCATGTGGGTATGTGCGTGTGGGTGAGGTGCCCGTGGAGGCCAGAAGCATCAGATCCCCAGGAGCTGGAGTTATAGGCAGTTTCGCGAGCTGCCCGACATAGGTTATGGGAACCAAATTCTGATCCTCTGGAAGAGTGAGTGCTCTGAACCACCTTTCCCGCCGCAGATTCCTATTCTTTTTTTTTTTTTTTTCTTCCAGTTTTTCAAGAGACAGGTTTTTCTTCCTGTAGTTTTGGTGTTTTGGTGCCTGTCCTGGAACTCACTCTGTAGACCAGGCTGGCCTCGAGCCCACAGAGTTCCATCTGCCTGGCTGTGCCTCCCGAGTTGCTGGGATTAAAAGCGTGGGCCACCGCTGCCCCGCCAGGTTCCTGTCTTATAAGGTGAATTTCGAAGGGACAACATTTAGCCTACAGCCTCGACCACAGCGGTCTGTCAGGGCCACCGTGTCCAGAGCTGAACTTCTCCGGTCTCCATTGTCCTGAGTTCAGGGCTCTGCTCTCCTGAGGTCTTTCTAGGATGTTTGTTGACACAGGCCTTTCTTACAGCAGAGTGACTTGCCGGGACTCGAGGGAAGCTGAGGGCCTCCCGATGGCCTCCATCCCTAGCATTCCATTTGAATTAGTGGAAATTTCAACCACCACGTTGTGAATGGTTCCAGATGTGCAGGCCTGGGGAGTGAGATAGCTGGAAAGCCAACTTCACATTTAAAGTTAAGCTAAGCTTGGGGCGGGGGCAAGTCACCAGCACCTAAGGGTCTAGGATGGGGAGAGCACCATCATGGGGTGGTTCCAGCCCGATGACATGGGGGGCTCGACCCACGTCACGACGAAACAAGTGGCATGCCGAAGCCAATTAGTGAACCTCGTCCCTTGGCCCCGATCTTGGTCGGCTTGAAAAGCACGGGACAAAGACGGAAGGGAATAGAGTCCGCACAGAGTTACTAAGAAGAGACAAGTGTTCACTGGGGGATTGGAGGCCTTCAAAGGAACAACTGTGGAAGGCCCCCATGGAGATTCTGTGGTGAGGACTGTGAGTCTCCCGGGATGCTCTCGGACACGTTTCAGATGCCAGGATAAAAGCGTGAAGCAGGGCTTTAGGGTAGACGGCGTGGATGACGTTTGTGGAGGCAATATTGGGGGAAATGAGCTCCTGGCTTGATGTGGCCAGGATGCTCGTAAGAAAGCGAGACACGAAGACGGCATGCATCATCCTGAAATGAAGTGTTGGCTAGATACGGGGCACCACGTGGCAAAGGGCCTGCCGGGCTAAGCCTGCAAAAGGCAGAGGGTGGGTTGAGGGAGCAGGAGGCCAGGGTGGTGAGGCTGACCACATATCCACTCTCCTTGTAGGTTGACTTAGGTCAGCTCTGAGTTCAGTGGACTTAGGGACAGTTACTTGTGTGGTACCAGATAGCACAGTGGGGGGAAATCACCATCACCAGCAGAGAGAGGGGTACCAGAGGTTTGATTGTAGACCTGTGATCAGATAGCCCTCAACACTTTTCTGTAGGTAATAAAAATAGTATAGTCAGCCCTCCATATCCATGGCTCCCATGATCACAGATTCAGTCGACTGTGGATGGAAAATACTCAGAAGAAAAAAAAATTAA